CTTATTGTTCCTACTCGTTTTTTTATTTTTTCTAAATATAATTTATTGATTTTTCTATAATATAATAAAAATGATAATAAATTACTGAATAAAAAAATAAGTATATTAATGAGGTGTTTTTAGTCAATATTTTATTGTAAATATTATAATATATGTGTAGACAAAATGAATGAATATTGAAAAAAAAAATCAAAATTGAATGACAAAATTGAATGACAAAAATAAAACTTATGATTGAATTTGATATAGAAAGTAAATAATCATAATCTCAAAGTAAAAATATCTTTAAAATTTAAAAAGTTAAAAATGATAGAAGAAAAGTTTTTGACATATAATAATAAACTCTATAGGACAAAAGAAATAATACAAATTATTATGGTGGATTATGGTGATTTTTTCTATAAGTATTAAATATTTATATTGGTAGTCTATAGTAAATTGGTATTTTAATAAGATTCCTAACCGAGTTATATTATCATTCATAAATTATTCATAATTAAGATATTACTCATACGTCTTATCTTCAACTATTGGAAGTACAATAATAAATTTAAATAATAAGTACTGATTTTTAATTCTTTTAATTGAATTTTTTTATTTTTTTTGAATTAATTATTTTATTAATAGTTTAATTTGAACTATTTTAAATTTTTTAGTAATTTATTAATATAAAATAAATTTATATAATTTTCCTATTCAATTGATGTTGAAATATTTTGACATATTCTTCATTGCTTCTTAATTGAATCTTCAACTTCATTTATAATTGATTTTTATTTAAATCAGATATATTTTTTCTGCAGGTTAAAAAAATTTTCGGTTTTCTATTTATATTTCACTTAGTTATATAGTTTAATTGAACAGTAGTAACCAATCTAATGTTAAAAATATTTATATTAATTTTTAGCAATCAATGAAATTAAAAGTTTTTCTAATTAGGATTAGACTAAATTACATTAATGTGATATTGTTAATCAATCAATTAAACGCAAATTAAAATTTATGATCCTACATATTAAAAATAATGGATTTACTATTATATATTTACTATTATATTATAATTTGAATATTGAAATTTCTATGGTTACCTTACTTCTATCGAAATACTTGAAATTAAAAAATAAAAAATAAAAGATGTTATTTTAATAAATATTAGTTTTATAGTCCTAATAAAATATAAAATAAAAGAAGGAAGAAAAGAGAAAAAGACACAATACAGATAATCAATTTATGGTTACAACTTTAGCAACGGATAAAAATTCCATTGCTAAACTATTTGTGTATCCATTTCCCAACTCTTAGCAACGGAAGAAGAAGAAAATTCTGTTAATTAATAAAAATCAATTCAGGTTATCACTTTACAAACGGAAATGTATTCCGTTTCTGTATTCCGTTTCTAACTTGTTTGTAGAAACCAACGAAACAAACAAGATTTGTTAATTAATTAAAATAATCTGATTAAGGAAACTAATATAAGTAATCCAAAGTATCCAAATTTAAAAATTATTAATATAAATTTTAATTCAAATCAATAAAATAAAATTTTTTAATTAGAATAGGATTAAATTATTTTTAATGATATTTTTAATCAACCAATAAAATAATCAATATAAATATACAATTTTCTAATTAGAACAAAGACTAAAATTATCCCTTAATAATATTTGTTTTAATTCAATTATTAAAATTAAAAATATGTAAGAGTACTTAACAAGAGAAAATTGAATTACAAACTCCAATAATTAAATTGACATTTATATAATAATTCTTAATAGTTAAAAGCAATAAATTCTTGATAGTTAAAAGTAATTAAAACTATATATATATATATATATATAGTGTTATGATATAACAAAATTCTAATTACAATGATATTAAAGGACAAATTCCTAATTAGAATAAGATTGAATTTATAATATTAAATTGGATAATTTAACATTAATGATATTAAATTCCAAATCAAGCAATAAAATTATTAAAGTATTAATTGGAAAATTTTCTGTTAAGAATTAGATTAAACTTCATAATAGAATTTAGATTCAAATAGGAAATTAACATAACTAATCAAAGTTAAACTACTATTATTTTTCAACTAATAAAATTAAATTTTCATAATTTGAATATGACTAAATTATCCTTGATGATATTTTTAATTAACCAATTAAATCAAAAGTTCATAGGGGTGTTTTGGGAACTCATTACCCCTCATTCGTATTTTTATATAGATTAGCAACAGAATTTTTATCCGTTGCTAAAGTAAATTAAATAACATTTTGTATGTATTAATTGTCAAGAGAATACAGATTTCAATTACCTAATACAAACTATATTCACAAAAGTCAATGATGTTTATTCTATTCACAAAAGTCAATGGATGTTTATTCTATTTTTTTCAAAACATTAATGAATTTATTTATTTCAATACGTAAGTTTATCTTTATTTTTTCAAACAAACAAAATTAAAATTCTTAAAGTTTTATGTTCTTACCATATATATCCTTATATAATATATAAATTTATTCAATAGAATTTATATTTTAAATAGAAAAATATATTCCTTAAATAGAAAATATATATCCTTAATAATTAAAATTAGCTTTATTTTTTAACCAATAATTTATCAATTTAAAAAAAATAATTCAAATATAATCGATTTAATAAATAAAAAAAATCTAAACTCCAATGAATTTTCGCTTATACTAAATATAGAAAAATATAAATTTATATTTAAATTATATATAATTCATTTAGATCAAATAAGATTCAAATAAAATTGTTAATATTTCATAGGATCCATGAATAATCACAAAAATTTTAATTTTTTACATGTTTGGCCAAATAAGAAAATCATTATATATGATATTATAAAGAAGTTTTGCTTCATAATCTTTAATCAAGTGGCTTTACTTAATAAAATCAGTTGTAACTTTTGAAACTAATTTTAGGTAGATGAGAATACATAATCACTTTAATTTAAAACTATACCGAAATAAATAAAAATTAAAGTGAATTTTCAAAGTGAAAACAGCGTCAAATTAAATATAGTTCAAAATTTAATTAGTTCAATTGATTTTACATGCACTTTTAGGTTGGTCAATTTAAGCCTTTCACTAAAAATAAAAACCGAATAAAAAATTCATTTTATCTGTGCAAACTAAAAATCAACCTAAATCAATTTTACCCGATATTTTAATATCCTTAAAATTAGAAAACATCCCTAAAATTACAAAGGGATATACAAAGGGATATAAGTTCTCTTTTGTTGAAGAAATCTTAAACCATTAATTAATATAATATTTAATTAATTAATCTAATAATAATATTTTGAACATATTGAATAACTCCAACTAACTGTAGAATTGACAAAGTATTTTGTAGAATTCTTTTCTACTTACCATTTGCTTTCTCTCTCTATTCTTAGTTATTCGATATAGGATAAATGGTTTAAATGTGTGTATATATTTCACGCAAATATATTCAAGGGAAGATTAAAAGAAATATCAGATGTCACATAAATTATTAAATAGATTAAATATTTATTATTCTTATTATTGTATAAGATTTTTTTACCTTTATTGCCATAATCCAATTATTTCTAAGAGTATTATAAAAGAAATTATAAAAGAAAAATCACTCACATATCTTTTTTATAATAAAAAATATTAGGTAAACTATTTTTTAATTCTTCAGATATCGTCATAAGAAAAAGAAAGTGGAAAGAAAAAATTAATTAAATCATTCTTGCATCATACACCACTTTATCATTTATTAATTTTTTCATAAGAACAGCAACTACAAAAAAATAAAGTAACAGAATATTGTTAATAATTTCAAAAATTTATATTTAGAAACTTATTCTATTTGAAAATTTATTTTTAAAAAATATATCAAATCAAATCATACAAACATAAAGAAGAAAAAGTATTAATAAAAAATACATTTTTTCTATGTTTATCTCTTTCCTAAATAAAATACTTTAAATTATATTCAAAATGAAATCAAATAAATAATAAATTCAAAAAATAAAATACAAAAATTTCCAATGTCTTATTTATCATATATATTTATTAAAACATAAATTAAAAAATCAATTATACCCAATCAACTAATAAACTGTAATTTTTTAATTGGCCATCATTAAGGGTATTTTAGAACATTTTAAATTTCATTAAGAGTGATATAGGTAATCGCATTACTCTCCCTCATTCCCACTTTTATATAGAATATAAATTATATATATAGTTAAATCTAATTCTTAAATTGTGTGTTTGTTATAAATGGAACAATTTAATTTCGTGCATTGCAATTTCTTTGAATAGCATAATTAGTAGCATCATAGAAGCAACTAGTTAAGTTAATGAGTCAACATTTGAACTTAGTTAAGTTTAATGAGTCAAACATTTGATTTGTTAGAATTTCAAAAAATAAAAAAAAAAAGAGAAAAATGTGAGTTTTTGAAATTTTTTTTTTTGTTAACAAAATTTTACAATTATATCAAGCTAAACATATCGTTAGGTATCAGTTAGTTAATTTGAATTTTAATTTCAAGTGACAATTAGTTAATTTGAATTTTATTTCAAGTGACAAATCAAGTCTGACTTTAAAATTATTTTACATATATAGACACACACAGAAAAAAGAAGAGAAAAACAACATAAAAAAAAAAAGGAAATTATAGCTTAAAAAATTGAAAAGAGCTTTGTTGTAGATGTTCCAAGTAGCGCATTTGATTCTGGTGCAATAGAAGAGATCTCTTCTTTCCACATGGCATGCAAATGTACCATCTGCTTATTCATCATTTCATTTACCTAACAAAGTCCAAAGTTCATCATGAAATAAAAATCTTGTTAATTAGATATGAAGACAGATATTAAAACTTACCTTCAGAAAGCAATTCCATTACTAAATTTCTTCTTGCTTCTTCTTCTTTGATAAGAATATGGCATGGTGTTGTTGGGATACTTTTCAGCCTTTAGATGTCCCTTCACTTCAATCAAGCTTCACCAAACGCAGCAGGTTTTCTTCTTGTTTTCTCTGGAATGCACAAGGTTCCATTCGAGACCAAGACCAAACACTGCTCCAAATGCATATCCCGTGAAAACAGATTTCCATCCAAATCCATTTTCATCAGAGTTTGAATCTCCTTCGCCTGATGGGGTCGTTACTTGTTGCCTTTCACCAGAATTACAAGCCTTTTCCAGTGGAAATCCACACAGTCTTGTGTTTCCTTCGTACGAGCTATTATCAAATGTGTTGAACTGAGGGCCCGTAGGTATGGGTCCTTCAAGTTGATTATGCGAAACACGAAATACTTCGAGGGATGTCAAAGTTGCCAATTGGATCGGAATCCTTCCAGTAAGATTATTTGAAGAGAGGTCTAAAGTTTCTAGATTGGTCAAATTTCCTATTGATGGTTCATTGATGGTTCAATGTTGCCTGTGAGATGATTATGAGACACATTGAGCTGCTTAAGTGCTTTAAGCTTTCCAATTGACTTGGGAATTTTTCCTGTGAAGTTATTACCTGACAAATTAATGGTTGTTAAAAGAGTTTGGATTTTCACCAACTCAATTTCAAATCCTTTCAATGTCAAGCTCACAGAATAATCAAGCTCACAGAATAAAAAGAGTTTGGATTTTCACCAACTCAATTTCAAATCCTTTCAATGTCAAGCTCACAGAATAATCATAATAGGGGTAGTTTGGTGATCCCATGTATGTCATATTTTGATCAACATTGATCATTGCATCGAGATTATTGAAATAATATGAAGGCAAAGGTCCGCTGAAATTGTTGTTGGAGGTCCAAAATCCGTAGCTTGGGAAACAGATAGTTGGCAATGGAGTGGCTTTTCACCAAACCACAGAGTCTATTGGATCGTAGCTGTAGAATCTGCAACTTTTGAAGAGTTTGTAGAAAAGAAGGGAATGTGTCCTCTATCTCATTGTTGCCCATATCAAAAATTTCCAAATCTTTACAATTGGAAATAGACGTTGGGATTTTCCCTTGCAGTTGGTTGCCATTGAAATTCAAATATCTCACGTTACTGCATTCTGAAAATACTTGAGGGGGAACTCCATTAAAGTTATTCATACCCAGATGTAATACTGAAAGGCTACAGTTGAAGTTTCCCAAACATTGTGGAATGGGACCACTGAAATTGTTACTCGACAGGTCGAGGATTTGGAGTGATTTTAACTCACAAACTGCAGAAGGAATCTCTCCTGTCAATTTCTTATTTGATGAAAGAATGAGAACCCTCAAGTCCACCTCATTGAAAATTGAGCTTGGAACTGTGCCAGACAACTTGTTATGGCTCAGATCAACATAGCTTAATGTATTATTATATTTGAATTGACATACTTGACCAGTGAGCAAGTTATTAGACAAACTCAAGTACATAAGGCTGGAGAGCCTGCAAATATCTGAAGGAATATCTGAAGGAATTGGACCACTAAAATTATTGTATAAAAGGTACAAAAATTGGAGTTGGTTATATTTTCCAATGAAAGATGGAATTGGACCATTGATATTGTTGCTTTCCATATATAAATAGGAGAGCTGGCTAAGGTTTGCAAATGAGAGAGGAATTGGGCCACTAAAATTATTGTATGTAAGGTCCAACCAAAAGAGTTTGTCAAGTTTTCCAATTGAGGAGTTTTCCAATTGAGGATGGAATTTGACCAGTGAAATTATTACCACTAAGCCCCAATACAGCGAGTTTGGATAAATTACCAAACAATTCAAGATTAGACCACCCTATAAAATTGCAACTATTGAGTTCCTGTACTTGCAACAACTTCAGATTCTTGAAGAATTCATTTTCTAAATAAATCGGAATTTTAGTCCAAGAAAGTGACAAGTAGCTGAGTGAGATACTCCAATTTGATATAAAAGTGGAGCTAGTGAGACCTTCATTCTTTGATAAATCAAGGCTAGTGAGACCTTCATTCTTTGATAAATCAAGGACTTCAAGGTTTGGAAGCTGAATTATATTATTTGGAAAATTTCCTCTTAATCCAGAAGATGAAAGTCTGAGAGATGACAAAGAAGAAGATAAATTGATAAATGAATTAGGTGAAACTAAAGAGAGGTTTGTAAACCCCAAGTCCAACTGTTGCAACTTGGTAAAGTTTCGAACAAGCTTGTTAAAACTAGTAGTTGTTTGTATTAAAAGACTGTTCCAGGAAAGATCAAGAGAAATCAAATTAGATAGTTGACCGATTTCTAATGGAATTTGACCAACGATTATTAGACGATAGATCCAACTCAGTGAGCAACTCAGTGAGTTTTTGATAAAATTACCACAATGCAAAGATTAGACCCTATGAAATTGGCAAACTCTTACAAGTTGCATTATTCTAAACATTTAGATTTGAAAATTCCATTTTCCTAAATATATTTTCTAAATATACTGGAATTTCAGTCCAAGAAAGAGACAAATGGTAGAGTGAAAGACTCCAATTTGATGTTGGAAAAGAGCCATTGAGGCCTTCATTATACGCTAAGTCTAAGACTTCGAGATGTGGAAGCTGAATTATACTGTCTCGAAATTTTCCTCTCAAACTACAAGATGAGAGTCTGAGGGATGACAAAGAAGTAGATAAATTGATAAAGGAATTAGGAGAAACCAAAGACAGGTTTGCAAACCTCAGGTCCAATTCTTGCAACTTGGTTAAGTTTCGAATAAGCTTGTCAAAACTAGCAGTTGTTTCTAATGTCAAACCAGAGTTAAGGGAAAGATCAAGAGAAACCAAATGATCAAAGAGAAACGCAATCGGATAGCTGACCGGATTTCTAATGGAATTTGGCTAGCGAAAGTTTGGAATAATTTAGATTAAGGTGTGTCAAGCTCAACAAAATGGCCATTTGAGAATTGGAATTATGGAAGCCTCTGAAATTTAATTGCAAAGATTAGATCTAGTTTTTGAAGATGATGGAAAGGAGTGGAAAAGAGAATTATTAGAATGGAAGTTACCTGTAAAGCATCACTGCTAAGAAAGGTTAGCCGCAATCACATAGCCAAGTATTAAAGTCACAACTTGACACCATCCAAAGAGGCAACACTGTGCCGCTTTCTTTCCATGATCTGTCCTTGGGAATTTAAAGAATTAATAAAAGGATGATAACTCCCCGGTCAATGAGAAGGAGTTTTTGATTGGAGCAAGGCATTGCTTTGGATCAAGCTGGCAAACTACATTTGAGAAAGGGGAATTTGTAATATTTGAAGAAAGAGCTTGAAAATGGGGAAGTGAAAATAGAAGGAGGCAGAGAAATTGAAAATGCCGCAAGTAAGCAACAAACCCATGTTTTGTGTTTGCCAAATTTAATTATGATCAATTTCAAGTATATTAATTATGATCAATTTCAGCATATATCACTCCCTATTTATAGACCACATGATTCCCTATTTGTTTGAATCATGATAATGTTCTCTCTCCTTTTTCTTTTTTCTAGTTATTTTAAACATTCGTTCTTTAATTTCTACCACTTAGTGCAAGAGCCACTGTAATTCTATTCTATTTTTATTGTTATTATAAATTACACTATACTTTGTTTCATAATTTTTTTTAATAGTTAGAATAATTTTCTCTAATTATTTTTAACAAAAGTGGATTGTAAATTTTATCTTTTAGAAATTACGTTGGTTTCTGTTTCTGCATTATCAATCTTTTTCTCAAGGTTTTTCTTTTTTTTTTTTTTTGAAAAATCCTCAAGGGTTTTCAAAAAAAAAAAAAAAAAAGAATTCAGAATAATAAGCTAGACTGATATTTTTTTGTATTTTTGAACAGCTCATAATTAAAGCCAAAATAAAATGAAAGTACATCTAAGAAGGTAAGAACTTTTCAAGTCTTGCATGCATGCACTATATGGAAAAATTTTGTCTAGATCCGGTGCATGACCTCATTTATAGACCAAGCAAATGAAATTAGGGATTTTTTTAAAAATTATTTCGACTTTTTTTTTTCTAAATGTATGAACAGAAATACTCTCATTTCAATAAAAAATATTAAATTTTATTAGTTTAGTTTATAGGTGGAGATATAAACAGAGTATAAATAAGTTTTTCCCTACGCCATGTACCACGTAGGGATATTATTAGAGTATCATCGATCCTTATCTTCGGGCAAAGGATGAAATTTATTTGCCTATCACTTATAACCCTCTAATTAAAAAAGTCAATCAACAAGTGAATAGTTAAGCCTGAGAATGACAAGATTGAAGTGTTGTGTCAAATTCAGTCACTCAAAATTCAGTCACTATCCCGAAGAACTTATGCAAGTCTTTCCTTTGGCCTTCTCCTAAATTCTTTGATTTCCCTTATGCTCGTTTTCGTTAGGTATGGCGTTTTCATCGATCATATTTCCTCCAAACCATAATTTTTTGATAATGATTTTAAAATCTACAAACTAAGGAAATTCGTAGCTAAACCTTATTGTTCTGGTGGTCCTTGTGAAGTGGATTGGAAAGAGAAAAACGAAGAAGGGGAGAAAAAGGTTTTGACAATAGTTACGATCGAATTGATAATTACATTAAGAAAAACGATGATTTAATTACTATAACTGCCTAATAATAATTCTTTTTTTAGTTTAATGGTAAAGTGTTACATCGTGTATATATAATAAGGTAAAACGATGATTTTGAAGGTGAGTTCAAATTTCTTTTAACATTATATATCTTAAATGTTATGTTAGTTTAAGTTTAATCTAAATTTCATGAACAAAACAAATATAAATTAAAAAATAAGTGCACATATTATAAGTAAAGGAAAAAAATTATATTTAGTCATCGTTCTCTTATAGTTGTCTCAATAATTATTATAATTATTATATAAGGATATATCAGGAAAATAATTCAATGGACAAAAGAATTCTGATTAATTTTTATTAAATTATTAAGTTTTTGTTATTTGTTAAGCTATTTATATTTATTAGTATTAGTACTCTATTGAGAATTATGTTGATAAGGATTTCATATGCTTATTACATGCAAAGGTTTATTTTGCAAATCACTATAATCCTCTGAATAAAAGACAATCAGATCTTGTTCTAGAGATTGTGTTTGAGTTGTGTGACACCAGTGAACATGTTACTATTGATTAGGTTTGGAGATAGGTAAATAAAGCTTCTCATGCTTTAGCAATATTATCATGTTTCTATACTGGTTTTCATATGTAATTTGAGATTTCTTCTCACGAGATGCTCTTTTTATGTTGAATCTCTTTTTATTTCTGGTTCTATTCATTAATGAAGTTTCCTCTTCTTCTTTAAAAAAAAAAAAAAAGACAATCAACAAGCAAATTGTTAGAATTGAGAAGGACGAAATTGAATCATTGTGTCAAAATCAGTCGTTCTTTGAAGACTTGTGCAAGTCTTTATTTGCCCCACAATTCTTTAATAAGTTAAACATTATGCTATGTTTTCATTCCAGCCAAGCAATTTTAATCTTAAAGTCCAGCCAATGACTTATACAAGTCTTCCTGCCTCATTATTCAAACCAAATTTCCTTCAACCATCATTAAGGTCTATTAATCGAAAATAGACAAAGGATCGGTTCAGCAAATTTAGCTATTTTTACAGTTATTAATTATTTTAATAGTTAGCTGTTTTAGCAGTTGTTAAATGTTAGTTGTTAGCTTTTAGCTAAGTAGCAATTGAAAAAAAAAGTGTTTCGATAAAAATAACTGTTTAATTGATAATTTAAATTTAAAATAACAAAAAAGGACATTAAAATATTCACTTATAGTCATAGAATTAAACTCATTACAAAAAAGAAAAAAAAAAAGATGATTTCACTAAACCTAAATTTTCAAAATTTAAGGGAGAAAAAAAAAAAGATGATTTCACTAAACCTAAATTTTCAAAATTTAAGGGAGTAAAAATTAAAAAAAGTTCATTGTTTCATAAATAAAATTAAAAATTTTTCATATTTTACGGATCAATATTTTTAATTTTTAATATTTCTTGAATTCAAATGGATATATAAATAAATATTTTTAAAAAATTAAAAAATATTTAAAAATTCATTTTCTAAATATAATGGAATTTTAGTCGGAGAAAGGAAAAACCAAAGACAGGTCTACCTGGCTGAAATCCAATTCTTGGCACTTGGTACGGGTTTGTGGATGGTTAAGTTTTGGGCTAGATGCTAAGCCTTCGAAGTTAGGTTGAAGTTAGATTGGATAAATCAATAATATTTTATATTCTACAATTTCAAATAATAACTAATTATGTGTCTACGCATTACACGAAATGTATAATTTTAGTTTTATTTTTTATTGTGTAAAATGTGCTTTTAATGAATAGATAAATATGAATAGATAAATCAATAATAAATGCTAAGGAATTAAAAAAAATAAACCTGCTAGTCATAACTAATAAGGAACGAAAATAATAGTGAAAAATATTGAGAAATTGTTAATTTTTTTCCATAATTATTTTCCACTCTTATATTTGGATGTAATGAAATAAAGAAAATAAATTTATTTGAAAAAGTAAAATTCTAGAGGAACCAGTCCCTTGGTGAGTGTTGCAATAGCTCTATATATGATATGTCCATCTATTATTTTAATATACTGATAAATTAATTGATTTATGAATTAAACATACTATAAATTTCAGAGTAAGAAAAATCATACTGTAAATTAATCAGATATATAATTAGCAGAAATTATTACAAATTTTAAAGAAATACAAATAATTCAATTATAGATTTATAATAGTCATGTTTTTTTTTTTTTTAAAAATTTTTTGTTAAAAAAGAAATTATTTAAGCCATCTCTTTGTTCGTTGCAATCAATGCATAAATGTTTAATTTTATTTAAATTGCTTCTTCACAATGAAGCCATCTCTTTGTTCGTTTGCAATCAATGCATAATGTTTAATTTATTTAAATTGCTTCTTCCACAAGTTGATTGCAGCAAGAATCCATGAATGCATGAAGACAACTCTATTTGTATTTTTAATGAAGGAATAGTCTTCTCAAGTTGAAATCACCGAATTTTTATTTTTGAAACTTTTAAATTTTTATTAAATTAAAAATCAAAAATCTTGACTGTGTGGGCTATGAATATAATACAGTCTTGATTCGAGCCTAAATTTACCAATTGGGTCCAAACCCAAAAATATATTATTAGAAATTTCGATTTGAGAACACTTAAAATTTTCGAAAAATAATATCGAACTCCAACAACTGATCTATTATAAATATATGTGAGTGTAATTACCATATAAATTAATTATTCTAAAATCAATCTAAAATCAAATACATATTATTATTGTTTTTATTATATTGAGTAAAATTAAGGAAATTGTTGCTGAACTTAAAGTAAAAATTAAAAAATAAATCTAACCGATACCCAAAAACCAATTTGAATTTTTTCTAAAAGCCAGGTGGAAAATCCGTAAACCAAATAGTAAACCAAATAAAAATCGAGTCAAATTACTGATTTGGACCAAATCGGTTCGAATTGAACCGGAATAGTCTAGAAACTCATATTTTCTTTCTCATTTGTTTTCTTTCTTCTTCTTCCTTCCCTCTCTGGAACGCCGACCTCAGTAGCTCCCCCTCCCCTTGGTCTCATTTTTCCGACCGCCAGAACCAGCGCCTCCTCGCCGGACCTCCTTGCCACGCCGCCGCCTCACCGCAGCTCCAGTCTCTCTTCCTCTCTCTCTCCTTTCGTCTTTGGCGAGCGCAGCTATCGCAGGGACCTGCGATTTCGTCCGATCGGAAAATCACACTATCGCAGGGAACCTGCGATTTCGTCCGATCAAAAAATCGCGTCGCAGCTCACTCGATTTTCTAGCGATCAGCGATGAAGCTCCGGTCTCTTCCTTTCTCGCATTCTCTCCTCTGTTTCCGGTTGGCGCAGCAAAACGAGGAGCTACGATCGCTATTTCCTGCTTTTGGACAGTCGACTCGTCGTTTCTCTGCTCCTCCAGCGAAACCAGCCAAGGATCGGCCGGTTGAGCTCTTCCATTCCCTCTAGCGACCTCACCGGCCACGATCCTCTCCAGCTCTGGCCAAGCTAATGACGGCAGAATCAGATCTTGGGTAGTAGAGCAAATTTCGGTCATTTTAACCGAAAATTTCCAATTTCCAGCTCGTTTTACAGCTAGGTAAGCTCATCTCTAACTTTCTTTTTGCATATTTTGTGATTCTTTGTGCTAGGATGTGGAATTTCATGTATTAGTCAAGCTAGAGTAAGGATTAAATCCCTATATATTCTATATATGCAAATTTTAGGAAAAGGTTTGATTTTATTTACTAACTATAATTAAAACACATTCTAGTGAGTGTTTTGAAGGGATTAATGTAGCTTTAGATTAGAATTGAGTATTAGAATTGAGTATTGAATTTAAAGTGGCAGCCTCTAGCTAAAGAAGATTATAGTTTTTGTTGAGTTAAGTCCATATTTAAGTCCCCATATTTGGTGGTAGATACTATGTCCTTTCATAACTTGTTGTTAATGTAAATGGTTTAATGATCGAGATAGAACAAAAATGAGAATTTTCTTGAAACGGCAGCACTATTTTTTATTATCGTATAAAGTATGCTGGATATAGTACAATATGGGGTTGTAAGTTTAGTAAGTTTAATTTTTGCAAGGGATTGGTTAATTGGTGGGTAATCTATGATTTCAGCATAGGAGAACTCTGAATTTTTGTATATCGGCAGCAACTACCTTGAGATCTTGTGTTGTTTTAGAAGGACAAATTTATATAACGAGTGTACTTTTAAGATTTTCTTACTATTTTGATGTGTAAAAATTTTTACAGGTCAATAAACTGAATCATGAGACCCAGTTAATTATGACAAGGAATATATAAGTTATAGATGTATATGATTGTTAATAGTATACAGTTGGATAGTTTTAACTAGTAGAATTTATGTTAAGCAAATAGCTATTTTCACTAATTTGCTTTTTTATTTATTTTGCTAGCATTATATAGTAAGTTAAAGTTTGGCATTGACGATTAAATATTAATGTGATTGCTTTGGATGGAGGAAGGGAAATAAATTTGTTTGATTGATAAATTTGTTTGATTGCGCGATAGATGGGCTGTATGTGTATTGATTGAAAAGTATTTAGTGTTATTTGATATTGTCTAAACCGGTGGAAAGTCAAATTTTAGGGGAGGTCCTGCCGAAATTTTGATAGAATATAGGCTAGTCTTAATTAATAATATAATTAATAGTTTTAATTAGATTAATTCTTTATCTCTACTTATATTATTATTATCATTAGTATTCATTTATGTATTTAATTATCTATCTATTTTCATCATTATATTTATTATTGTTATCATTTATTTTATTATTGTTGTTTATTGTTAATACTATTTATTTGTTTATTTGCATTTGAATAAAGATGTCTAATTGTGCATTGCATTATGATGTTAAAAATATATGTTTAGATTAAAAATTATATGTTTATATAGTTTGTATTTTATGCTGTGTGTATTTCACGCGCCTTTTTTGTTATTCAAAAAAAAAAAAATACAGTTGCAAACCTTTATCGTGGAATGTAGAATCTTTTTTTTTTTTAAATCGTTATTAAAATTATTTTTTTTAATTGTTATTAAATTATAAATTGTAGAGGTTGCGTTTGCGCAATAGCATTTGAACTGCTTTTAGAGTATAGCGTTTATTTAAAAACTTAATCCCGTGTAATATTTATTAGCTTTTAGCTTTTTGTATATAAAAGGTCACTTAAATTGCTAAAAGTTAAGCGCTATCAAAACAATTAACAAATAATAAAATAGCTAATTTTGCCAAACAAATTCATAATTATCTTTAGATTTATCAAAATTTAATTGTAAATTGGTAAAAATTTGAAATAGAGAATTTTCGAGCAGTTGGGATTTGTAGAAATGAAACATATCCTTTCATAATTTTCGAAATTTCGGTGGAACTTTCCTTAGAAATTGAAGTAAACCACCTGCTTAAAACTATAATTCAGTAATAAATTCTGAAAGTCCATCCATTGGGGAGGGGTACAGAGGGCCATAGGTTCGAATCCTGTCACCTTGATGTGGTATTCAGCAGCGGCATTCTCCCTTGACTTTGAATTAGAAAATAGAATTATGGATTGACAACAACTATCCCGATTGCCATAACCATTTTTTATTCATCTAAACATTTACTCAATTCACACAGCCTATCTGTTGGGCTACCCATCCTCCTTAAACATCAACATTATCACCCAAATATCTCAACTATAAATTTACGAATTAAAGTAAGTTTCAACTGCTCTCAATCATTCTTTACTTAGGATATCAACTGCTTCCAATAATATACACCCAAATATCTCAACTATAATATTTATTAAATTCTAGACTAGCTATTAAGAATCGATGGTTCAATTAAATTATAATTTAAGAAAAGCATCTTCTAAGTAACCCAATTTACAACTTTAACTAACCCAATTTACAACTTTTAACTATGTCTCAATACAAAGCTTCGTGTACTCGTCTCTCCGTCTTGACATAAAATTCCCTTTTTCATAGATATAAACCGACACTAATCATTAAAAACAATTGAAAATATATGTATTCCATTATTACTTTAGTTTATATATAAAATGGTATCAATTATCTGGCAGATAGCTAACTGTGCCATCAAATTACTAGGTTCTCCTTGCTTAAACTTATATACTATGTTTACTACAACCGAGAAATTTAATTCACCACTTTCATTTGATTTATAGTTTCCACTATTTATCCTTCAATATTTTTCTTTGAAATACTATTCTTTAAGCACCGTTGCCAAGTAATTTAATTCTTCTTTGTATTCTTGAAGTATTCTGCCAATCCCCATCTTCCTCAATACCATTTCAATTTATATATGGATCAATCATATCTATTAATTAAGGAAATTATATATTTGCATTCCAAGATCCTATGATTGCTTTTTAATTAACTATTTATTCGAAATCAACTAATTTAACTAAAATTTTCAAATTTGGAATTTATTACCAAAAATTATGAACTGGGTCTTAAAGCGAACTGATAGAAAATTGAACGACAATTCCACCATCCACGCGAGGCGAAGAGGATTCTGCCTTTTGGGACCAACCGGAGACTCACCGTAATAATATATTAATTACGCCATGAATATGCAAAAATTTCAAATAAATAATAACTTTGAAAAATAAAATATAAAAAAAATATAAAACATTTAAATGTCTTATTTATCATATATAATTTATAACCAATAAATTTTATATCCGATCAATTAATAACGTGTAATTTTTTTATTGTCATCTTTAATTGGTCATCTTTAAGAGTATTTTAAAACAATTTAAATTTATTTGAATAGCATAATTAGTAGCATCATAGAAGCAACTAGTTAAGTTAATGAGTCAACATTTGTTTTGTTAAAATTTCAAAAAATAAAAAAAATAGAGAAAAATGTGAGTTTTTGACTTTTGTTACAAATTTACAATTATATCAAGCTAAACATACGTAGGTATTAGTTAGTTAATTATTCAATCCCATTATAAACATAAACACATCATATGCTATGACTCATTTTCGTATTAGTCTATATAAAAAGGAAAGTTACAGTCAATATGGAGTTCATCATCATGAATTTTATACTCAGAGACATGAAAATGAGTTAATACGATTATTTAATTAAATAGGATAAATTATTATTTAATTCCTGAGATTTTTTCTAATTAATGAGTTCATTCCTCTTCATGGTCCTACTTTTTTTTTTAAAAAAAATATTAAATTAGTTTAATTTATGTTCATCGGTATCCGTCAACAAAAAAAAAAAAACAAAAAAACATCGCTTTGTTAAAATCGCTTTGTTCAAAATAACTAGAGAATTTTATTAAATTAATGAAAAACATACTAAACTATTTTTTAGTTTTCACTTAGTATCTTCTAGTGACGGAAAATTTTTTGAAAAAACGCAATATCAATTTCCAATTTGTACTATATCATTTGTCGTTGCATATAAAATTTATGACAGGTTTATATAGTGATTCTTATCACACAGAGGGAAATACTAAGTTTATGCTGGCAAATTTATTTGTATCTCGGGAACTAAATTAGGACACCCAACTCTCTCCCTTCTGCAATTTTGGAAAGAGACAAGCAAACCCAACAACTTTCATAATCATGGAACCTTAGAGCAAGGTGGCTTTAGTCTCCTCCGGCAAGAAATAACTATTTCTTAATTGTGGATTTTCTTTTTAACATGATTTGAATTTTATTTCAAGTGACAAATCAAGTCTGACTTTAAAATTATTTTACATATATAGACACACAGAAAAAAAAAGAAGAGAAAAACAACAAAAAAAAAAAATGAGAGGAAATTATAGCTTAAAAAAATTTAAAAGAGCTTTGTTGTAGATGTTCCAAGTAACGCATTTGATTCTGGAGCAACAGAAGAGATCTCTTCTTTCCACTTGGCATGCAAATGCACCATCTGCTTATTCATCATTTGACTTACCTAACAAAGTCCAAAGTTCATCATGAAATAAAAATCTTGTTAATTTGATATGAAGACAGATAATAAAACTTACCTTCAGAAAGCAATTCAAACTTACCTTCAGAAGCAATTCCCATTCACTTATTTCTTTCTTCTCTTCTTCTTCTCTGTTCTTCTTCTTCTTCTCTGATAAGATATGCAGGTGTTGTTGATACTTCTTTTCAGCCTTGGATGTCCTTCACCTTCAATCAGCTTCACCAACCAAGTAGGTTTTTTTGTTCTGAACACAAGGTATCCCATTGCGAGACCAAACACTGCTCCAAATGCATATCCTGTGAAAAAAGATTTCCATCCAAGTCCATTTTCATCAGAGTTTGAATCTTCTTCGCCTGATGGTGTCGTGACTTGTTGCCTTTCACCAGAATTACAAGCCTTTTGCAGTGGAAATCCACACAGTCTTGTGTTTCCTTCATACGAGCTATTATCAAATGTGTTAAACTGAGAGCCTGTAGGTATGGGTCCTTCAAGTTGATTATGCGAAACAGAAAATACTGCGAGGGATGTCAAAGTTGCCAATTGGATCGGAATCCTTCCAGTAAGATTATTTGAAGAGAGGTCTAAAGATTCCAGATTGGTCAAATTTCCTATTGATGGATGGTTCCAATATTGCCTGGTGAGGATGATTGTGAGACAGTGTTGAGCTGCTTAAGTCCTTTAAGCTTTCCAATGACTTGGGAATTTTTTCCTGTGAAGTTATAACTGACAAAGTTAAATGGTTGTTTAAAAGAGTTTTGGAATTTTAACCAACTCAATTTCCAATCCTTTCCAATGTCACCTCACAGAATAATATAGGGTCGTTTGGTGGCTCCATGTATTGTCATATGCTGATCAACATTGATCGATTGCATCGAAAATTTATTGAATAATTGAAGGCCAAAGGTCCCGCTGAAATTGTTGTTGGAGAGGTCCAAAATCCGTAGCTTGGGACACAGATAGTTTGGCCAATGACGTGGGCTTTTGAACCAAAACCATGGAGTCCTATGGATGTAGCTGTAGAATCTGCAAGCTTTTCGGAAAGAGTTTGGTAGAAAAGAGGATGTGTCCTCTATCTCATTGTTGCCCATATCTTAAAATTTCCAAATCCTCTTACAATTGGAAATAGACCATTGGGATTTTCCCTTGCAGTTGGTTGCCATTGAAATTCAAATATCTGCACGTTACTGCCTTCCTGAAAATACTTGAGGGAATGACTCCAATTAAAGTTGTTCATACCCAGATGTATAAATACCTGAAAGTCTACTGCTGAGTTTCCCACATTGTTGTAATGGGGACCAACTGAAATTGTTACTCCGACCCGGTCAAGGATTTGGAGTGCTTTTGACTCACAACCTGCAGAAAGGAATTTCCTCCCTGTCAATTTCTCATTTGATGAAAGAACGAGAACGTCAAAGTCCACCTTGATTAAAATTGAGCTTGGAACGCCGTGCCAGAACAACTTGACAACTTGTTATGGCTCAGATCAACATAGCTTAATGTATTATTATATTTGAATTGACATACTTGACCAGTGAGCAAGTTATTAGACAAACTCAACAACCATAGGCTAGAGAGCCTACAAATATCTGGAGGAATTGGACCATTGATATTGTTGCTTTCCATACTTAAATATGAGAGCTGGCTAAGCTTTGCAAATGAGGGAGGAATTGGACCACTAAAATTATTGTATGAAATAGACAAATATCCGAGTTGGTTACAGCTTCCAATGAAAGATGGAATTGTACATTGATATTGTTGCTTTCCATAAGTAAACTGGAGAGCTGGCTAAGGTTTGCAAATGAAGGAGGAATTGGGCCACTAAAATTATTGTGTGAAATAGACAAATATCCGAGTTGGTTATAGTTTCCAATGAAAGATGGGATTGGACCATTGATATTGTTGCTTTCCATAAGTAAACAGGAGAGCTAGCTAAGGTTTGCAAATGAGGGAGGAATTGGGCCACTAAAATTATTCTCTGAAAGGTCCAAGTGATAGAGTTTGTCAAGTTTTCCAATTGAGGATGGAATTTGACTAGCGAAATCATTACCTCTAAGCTCCAATACAGCGAGTTTGATAAATTACCAAACAATTCAAGATTAGACCACCCTATAAAATTGCAACTATTGAGTTCCAGTACTTTCATAACAATTGCAACTATTGAGTTCCAGTACTCTGCACACAACTTCAGATTCTTGAAAGTAAAATTGCAACTATTGAGTTCCAGTACTTGCAACAACTTCAGATTCTTGAAGAATTCATTTTCTAAATAAATCGGAATTTTAGTCCAAGAAAGTGACAAGTAGCTGAGTGAGATACTCCAATTTGATATAAAAGTGGAGCTAGTGAGACCTTCATTCTCTGATAAATCAAGGACTTTAAGGTTTGGAAGCTGAATTATATTATTTGGAAATTTTCCTCTTAATCCAGAAGATGAAAGTCTGAGAGATGACAAAGAAAAAGATAAATTGATAAATGAATTAGGTGAAACCAAAGAGAGGTTTGTACTCCCCAAGTCCAACTCTTGCAACTTGGTAAAGTTTCGAACAAGCTGTCAAAACTAGCAGTTGGTTCTAATGTCAAACCAGGGTTAGAGGAAAGATCAAGAGAAACCAAATTGGATAGCTGACCGATTTCTAATGGAATTTGGCTAGCAAAGTTTGAATGTTTTAGATTAAGGTGTGTCAAGCTCAACAAATGGCCAATTTGAGATGGAATTGTGGAGCTTTTGAAATTATTGGAAGAGAGATCCAGTTTTTGAAGATGATGAAGAGCGAAAAGAAAGAGCGAAACGAGACATTATTAGAATGGAAGTTACCGTAAAGCACTCACTGGCTAGAAAGGTTAAGCCCAATCACAATCAGCCAGCTATTAAAGTCACAGCTGACACCATCCAAAGAAGCAACAATCCGTGCCGCCTCTTTCCATGAATCCATGAATCTGTCTTGGGATAAGATTTAAATAAAGGATCATAACTCCTCCTAATGGAGAAGGAGTTTTTGAATTGGAGCAAGGCATTGCTTTGATCAAGCTGGCAAACTGCATTTGAGAAAGGGGAATTTGTAATTTTTGAAGAAAGTGATTGAAAATGGAAGTGAAATTGAAGGAGGCAGAGAAATTGAAAATGCCACAGTAAGCAACCAAAACCCATGTTTTGTGTTTGCCAAATTTAATTATGATCAATTTCAGCATATATCACGCCCTATTTATAGACCATATGATCAATTTTTTTTTTAATTATTTTAAACATTCGCTCTTTAATTTAACATTCGCCTCTTTAATTCTCTACCCACTTAGTGCAAGAGGCCCACCTGTACATTCTATTCTATTTTTTATCTGTTACTTCATAAATTAACACTCATACTTGTATCTCATAATTTCTTTTAATAATTAGACTAATTTACTCTAAATTAATTTTTAAATAAACAGTGGCGATTATATTAGAATCGGTGGAGTTGAATCCTCATGATTCAATGAATGAATAATTTAAGAAACTTTAAATTTTAATCTTTTCGAAATCATGAATAATGAAATGAATAATTAATCATTAGACGTATCCATGCCTTATCTTTTGGGCAAACGGATGAATTTATTTTTTGCCTTCTCAGCTTGTAACCCCTGTAATTAAAAAAGTCAAATCAACAAAAGTGACATAGTTAAGCCTGAGAACGACCTCAGACTCGAAGTGTCTGTGTCTGAAGTGTTGTGTCAAATTCAGTCACTATCCGAAGACTTGAGCAAGTCTTTCTTTGCCTCTAAATTCTTTGATAAGTTAACCATTATGCTACATTTTCGTTATAGTTACGCAAATGTAATATAAGTCTTCCTACCTAAATATTCATCGATCATATTTCCTCAATTTGTTTTAACATTATATATCTTAAATATTATGTGAGTTTAATCTTAAATTTCATGAACAAAACTAATATAAATTAAAAACTAAATGCACACATTATAAGTAAATATATATATATATATATATATATTTGGTCGTCATTCTCTCATAGTTATCTCAATAATTATTATATAAGCATATATCAGGAAAATAATTCAATGGACAAAAGTATTCTGATTATTTATTAAATTATTAAGTTTTTGTTATTTGTTAAACTATTTATATTTATTAGTATTAGTACTTTATTGAGAATTATATTGATAAGGATTTCATATGCTTTTTTGTTATTTGTTAAACTATTTATATTTATTAGTATTAGTACTTTATTGAGAATTATATTGATAAGGATTTCATATGCTTGTGACTTTCTGATTAAAAGACAATCAAATCTTGTTCAAGAGATTGTGTTTGAGTTATGTAACAACAGTGATCATGTTACTATTGATTAGGTTAAGAGATAGTTGAATAAAGCTGCTCATTCTTTAGCGATAGTATCTTGTTTCTATGCTGATTTTCATATTTAGTTTGAAATTTTTTCTCACGTCGACGCTCTTCTCATGATGAATCTCTTTTTATTTCTCATTCTTTTCATTAATGAAGTTTCCTCTTCTTCTTTAAAAAAAAAATTCAACAAGCCAATTGTTAGAATTGAGAAGGATGAAATTGAAACATTGTGTCAAAATCAGTCACTCTTTGAAGACTTATGCAAGTCTTTATTTGCTCCACAATTCTTTGATAAGTTAACCATTATGCTATGTTTTCATTCCAGTTAAGCAATTTTAATCTTAAAGTCCAGCCAATGACCTAGACAAGTCTTCCTGCCTCATTATTCACGAACCAAATTTCCTTCAACCATCATTATGGTCTACTAATTGAGATATTCATAGATAGAATCTCTGTCTGGCATGTGACATGTAGATTAGACTAAAGATTTTTTCGGCAAATTTAGATATTTTAGTAGCTATTGACTATTTTAATAGTTGTTAGTTGTTTTAGTAGCTGTCAGATGTTAATTGTTAGCTTTTAGGTAAGTAACAATTAAAAGCAAAAATGTTTTGATAAAAATAACTGTTTGATTGACAATTAAATTTAAAATAACAGAAAAAGATATTGAAATATTCACTTAAAATTTTCACTTATAGACATAGAATTAAACTCATTACCAAAAAGAAAAAAAAAAAAAAGATGATTTCACTAAAGCTAAAATTTTCAAAATTTAAGAGAGTAAAAATTGAAAGTTCACTGTTTTATAAATGAAATTAAAAATTTTTAATATTTTAGGGATCAATATTTTTAATTTTTAATATTTATTGAATTCAAATGGATATATAAACAAATATTTTTTAAAAATTAAATATTTTTTAAAAATTCATTTTCTAAATATAATGGGATTTTAGTCCGAAAAAGGAAAGCCAAGGACAGGTGTACCCGGCTGAAGTCCAAATCTTGGAACTTGGTATGGGTTTGTGGATGGTTAATGAAACAACCCGAATTTCTAATTTCAAAATATTTTCCAATTGAATTTTATGTACCGACAGCCTGGAAATTAATATAAATATTTTAGTATGAATACTGTGAGAAACCGAACCGAAAACTGATTGTAAAGCCGTGAACCAATCACAAAATATTGTAAAGCCGTGAACACCAATCACAAATCGAAAAGATTTGGGCCGAACCGAACCGATCGGAACGCGGCTTCGACCCAAACGCACTCTAGAATTTTCCTTTTCTTTTCTATTTCTGCGCAACCTCTCACTCCCTTCCCCACCATTTTCTTTCTGCGCTTCCCGATCTCCGGCAACACCATCTCCCGCCACCTTCTTCGTCCTTTTCTTTCTTCTTCTTCTTCCTCCTTCTTTTTCCTTTTCTTTCTTTTCTTCCTTTCTTTTCCCTTTCCTTCTTCCCTGCACCTGCAGCCATCTCGCACCACGCTTGTCCAGCAGTCACACCAGCGGCTCAGCTTGCAGCGCCACTGCCGATTCTCACTGCCGCTTCGTCACGGGAGCACCTTGTTGCTCCGTTTTCCGCGCTTGGTCCTAGCTCACGCCAGCGCCACAGATCGCGCAGTAGGCCCTCCTGTCAGGTTTCTGGGCGCCCACCAGCAGCAGCTCCAGCTGCGAGTCTCGCTGCCAGCCCGCCTCTCTTTCGCCTCTTCTCTCCGGCCTTCTCAGCCACTGCCAGTCGAAATTTAAAGTATAAAACAAAATTTATCAGAACATAACAAGACCAATTCTATGCTTCTTTACCCGACTCGCGTAAGAAATTTCGATCTAGCATAATTAATTAACGTTAATAGTGTTAATGTTATTTAGTTAATTTAGTTAGTTGTGTTAGTTAATGTTGTTAGTAGTTAATTAATTAACATTAATTGTGTTAATGTTAATGTTATTTAGATATGAAATAATAGTTAATTAAATTAATTAGGTTAATATTAGTTGATTAAACTAAATTAAATTAACTAATATTAGGTAATGAAATCAATTTTATTATTTGTAATTAATTAATCTAGCTAAGTTAATGGTAGAAATGTTAGTTAATTAAATTAACCCTATTATTTGTGGTTAATTATTAATTTAATTTGGTAGATGTGAGTAGTTAATAGCTTTATAATTTTATTGTTAATTTAATTAAGATATAATGTTATTGTAATGTATAAATCGGATTGTGTGGTGAATACTAGGAGAAGAGCATCCGAAAATGCGGAGCGAGAAGCTCCCGATGAGGCCTCTTCCAGACGTTTTGTTCCTGCTAGACGAAGAAGGGGTAGACCTGCAAGACACGAAGTCAATCAAGATGAAGAGGAGCAAGGGAATCTAAATGAGGAATTTGTAGCTGAAAATCCCCCTGAAGTAAATGCATTATTGACCGGACTTCAGCAAGCTATAACGGCTATGAATAATATGTTGATACAACAACAGCAGTTATTTCAGACTCAGCAGCAACAGCAACAGATGCATCCACCTATGCCCGATCCAGCAACGCAACCATTTCAGCCGGTTTCGTTTTATCATTATTATTAATTTGTTGATTTATTATTGTTTGTTGTTAACCACTATTAACTCTATTTATTTCGCATTTGATTTTTGGATGCCTAATTGTGCATTTGCGTTACCGATGTTTTCCATTGATTAACATATCGTTTTGCATTAATTGCAATACTCTGATTAAAATTGCGTTGTGATATCGTCTGGTGCTCTTTGTTCTTGTGTGGAATTGGGATGAAGTGACCCCCATGGGTTTGTGAGGACGGTCCTGTGATATGATCCGGTTATGATATGAAAACATACTTGACCGTCGGCACGGGAAAATGGGAGACTCGGCGCCCCCTTGTGCACCTGATGATATAACATTTATATGGAAATTCACAGGATGGCTTTCTTGTAAGTTGCGCACCTGATAATTTAGATTTGATTTGTAGCCGCAGGGGGCCCTCGCTGTTGTGAGCACTTGATGATCTAGATGGATGGAGACCACCGGGTTGCCCCTGCCTGTTAATATGGAAAGAGAAGAGAGACATGGACAAAATAATGAGAAGGACTGGTCGAGCTGAGGATTAAGACCATTGTTGTGCGTATGGGGGATCGGCTTCCCTGGCTGCATATGTTATGACAGGGGGCCGAGCCATGTGTGAGCGACGGCTCGTTGGGGTTTTTCAGGTGGGGCGCCACTGACTAATTTCCCTTGCTTTGTTTTAATTGAAGGTTGACATTACCTTGTTCCACGTGATGTGATTATATGAAGATGTTTATGATTGTGAGTGCTGGTGATATGCCATTTGTGTGACTGGCTGCGTGAGCATATAACTAGTCGGGTGACTAGATTAATATGTGTACACATTTGTGTGACTGTGTGTGTTGTGCAATAATTATTACTCCTTAGAAAACTCACACGTCTTGTTTGATTTTTCAGGAAGTAAGTTTTTCTTTAATCCGGTTTAGTTCGGCGCAGGGCAATAGAGAAATTTTTTTAGTTCCATAATTATTTTGCTATGTAATTATGTGTATAAAAACTATGTATACTAAAGAATTAGTGACTCCGCAG